CATTCAGGTTGGTGAGGACAACTCCCCACTAAGGTGGCGCCCAGAGGGAAAGCCACACTGAATACACACTTACGCAGACCACGAGGTTTAATGGGTGGCCACGGCAATTCTTTTTTCATTTTTCTTTCCTTCTTCTTCCTTGTCGTCATTTACTTTGACGAAAATCTTTGCTCTGAGGTAAAAACTTGACTGCACATGTATGTCACAATCTCTCATGTTGTGCTGGCAAGCACGTGCCTGAACATGGGCGTACATGTCCACTGCAAGCACTGAATGTACGTGTCCGCTGCAAACATTGAATGTACATGTCCGCTGCAAGCATTGAGGTTTTGGTTTGATTGAACACAAAAAAAAAGAGTTGGTCACAAGCTGTGCATTCAAGCACCCATGCCAACCATTTTGTTTGCAGGTGCACAAGACTGATCAGGTCTCGCTTCCCACTTGCATCCACAGCTTCGTTGAGTGTGGTAGGATGCAAGTGCCACACTCCCCTGCAACTTCCGCCTAGTAGTTGCAAGTAACAAATTGTTAAGCTCTTTGGAACAGAGGGAGACACACACACATGCTCAAAGCGCATGAAATACAGACGTCTCTTGATGAGACCTTCAGATATGCACACTTGGGGACGCTCCACATGGGAACGCCATCCAGCTTCCGGATTCCTAGAACGTTCCATGGGGAGCGCGGCGAGACAACCGAATGCTTGCCATGCTACATGTACGCGCTAGCATGCGGGAACACCGCGACCAGTGAGACGGTCGACAATCATGCCGAGCAGAATTTGGAGGACGCTCCACGCGGCAGCGTCCAGACGCGCCGCGACCAGTGCGGGGCTCGACGATTCCGTTCTGAAGAGAATTCAGAGGACGCTCCGCGCGCCAGCGTCACGACACCCACCCAGCCACCACTGAAAGGGTTGCCGATCGCGGCCATAGTTCGGAGGATGCTCTATAGCGCCAGCGTCACGACGCCGCAAACGCCGAGAGGATTGTCAATCGCGGCCAGGGGGATGCTCTGTAGCAGCAGAAGCAGAAGCAGCACCAACAGCAGCAGCAATAGCAGCAGCAACAGCCGCAGCAATAGCAGCAGGAGCAGCCGTAGCTGCAGGAGCAGCCGTAGCAGCGGCACTCGAAGTGTTTTGTTGTTGTCGTAGTTGTAGTGGTAGTCCTTGGCAGTAGCGGCAATTGTCGTCTCTTTCTTCAGTTTCTTTTGATTCTGCTTCAGATGCTGGGTCCTGCTCCTCCTGATCGTCCTGCCGATCATCGGTAACTATCCCCATCAATGTTGTAACAGCTATGTAGGTGGATTGCGCTCCAATTTAGTTGTTTTCCTTTTCAAGCACGGTTAGTTTCAATGTTTTCTGGCACGCTTGCAAGCCGCACGTGTTGAGGCCGTAGGGATGCGTGAAGCTGGCGAGTGGCAAAGCTTTGTGAAGTGAAAATTCGAATTCAAAGTTCCAGTTGTCCTTACCTTATCGTTGCCTTGTTTGTTCCAAGCAAACCTGAAAGCCACGTCAAGTCGGCTTCGCTAGCAATAAATACACTGGGTACGCGGCACCTTCCCAAATGTTCATAAGCTTCCGTAGCCAATTCACAGCCTGATGACCCCGATGCCTGGCGCAAACTCGTACAATTTGGAAGCCTGACCTTCGATGCAGAATACCAGCGCAGGTGGTTTTACAGACTGGGCAGCATTGCCAATGTCCGCAGCAGAAGCAGCTTTCGATGCCGTTTGCACATGTGTTGGCTGCGCGAAGACCGATCGCGAGCCGCTTGCCATTGCACAGGATTCCTGAGCAGTTAATTTACTGCAGCTGCATGGTCTCCCTGCGTCGCAATTCGTGTAGTGCAAGGTGCCTGCTTGCACGCTCTGCGGAAGAGTTGGTGAGATGTGGAGACTTGCTCGCGTTAGTGTTTGGTCTTCTCTACAAAGCTCCTCACCAATGTTTGTTTGAAAAGCCTTGCTGGACAATGCTGGCAACATCGAGTTACGCCATGTGCTCTGCGCAGACCCATGGCCATCTTTGATACCAGGTCATTCGGAGACATGAGGCAACTTGACACAGGGATGAGCGCACCTTGTTGCGATTGATTGCGAGGTAACGGACAGTGGTATGGTCCTGTGGTGGACGGTGTGGAGATGACTGTGAGGCAGGTGAGGCTGCGTAAGGCATTGACCGGTCTGAGAGTGAGCTCTGTGCCAGTCCATACGACGCTATCAAGACGCGAAGCAAAGCTGTGGATTGGTCGGCCAGAGCCTCATTGCGCTAAGCGTGCCGTCAGCGCGCGCCGTTGAGCAGACTCCCACCCAATGCAGTGTGCTAAGGTGCCAATCATCATCGGCAACACTTTGGGCGACAAGCTGGTCGATTTAGGCTTGCCTGATTGTCAGTTCATGCTGCCTGCTGGGGAGAGCGTCGGTCGAAGGATGTAAGTTGAAACGGAAAAGTCCTCTTTCCAGGTAAGTCCAGTGATGAGTACTGAAATGCTGCATGTAGTGGCAGCCTACGGCAGTGTTTCCAAACAGTACTTGTGGCTTGCCATCGCTTGCTCACCTTGCTGCAGGTCCACATGCAGATGCTGACAAGCTCCGAAGGTATTTGGAGCCACCTATCAGCAAGTCTGCTTCAAGTCTTGGAGCTGATGCTCAAGCCCCTAAGTAGGCCTAGAAGGAGCCGCCTGGATGTGGAATGTTAGACAAGGACGCAGATGGCGCCGGCTGCAGCGAAGAAGGACCTGTGGCAACCTGCGGCTGGAGCTGGATGCTTGAAAGCCCTGTTCTGATGCCAGGCAATGGAGCTGTATCCTCTGTCAATTTTCAGGGACTATGCCCTTCGCATCTTCCCACACGAGTGGAGTTCTGCATACTGGGCAGCTCGTGTCATGGGAGCAGCATGGCACGAATCCAGGGCGTTTGTTTGCCGTGGGCTGCTGAAACCAGAGTGGGGCAAGGCAGACAAAGACTTCACCTGTGTGATGCGGCGCGTTGTGCAGCAATATTACAAGAATGGCGGGATTGCCTTCTGGTACAACTGGCTTGAAACTTACACGGGCTTGCCGCATGTTCCACACTGTTGCACACTGGCTTCCGTATAGAGGTAAGTGACTTAGACATTCCACCCGAGGTTGCAGCCGCAGGCCGCGCTCCATAGACAAGCTCGTTGGTTGGCGTCAGTTTGGCCACGGCCACGTCTTGCAACATGCAGCTGGAACACTGCTAGGCACGTAGTGTACTCCGCGGACACAACACGCACAGGCAAAAAGCATTCCACGCCCAGCATCTAAGTCATGACAGAATGTGTTGAACCAGACGACTGTCGCACACTCGCTCCTGTCTCAGACACTGACCTGAATCTGGTTTAGAGCCTTGATGACTGCCAGAATAGTTCGCGGTTGCACACCACCTGACAGCAGCAAGGACACTCAGGTAGGGTCAACCTTAGTTCTATCCCCCTCCATCGTGATACCGGACGAGTCCATACGAGTCCAAAGTATAAGCGCCCATCACACTGCCATTGCCATCACATTCAGCGGTGGGAGCAAGCTGCAGTTCTAACAGGAACAGATGTCGGATTCGAGCATCAAATGCACCGCACATGCTTGTTGATGCGCAGGTATTTGACAAAAAACAAATGGCCGCCCTAAGGAAGGCGCATTATCAGCACAGGAAGTTTCAGATCACGAGTGGCTACCTAGACTCCTAGAGCAGCAGCACAATGTCCTTTGCAGGCTTCTTTGTCCATGGACGCAAAGCCGGTAGGTGGCAGCTGCTATCCGTGCCCAGGCAGGGTTGCTTGTGCGTGGACTTGACTTGTAATCAATTGTCATTGTAAACGTCTATTACAGTGCTTTCTCTCTTCAGGAGCTGGACATGGATCTGATTTGGCCTTCCTTTTTGAGAATCTCGTCTGCGTGAATGCAAGGCAAAGGAGACCGTGTGAGGAGGGCATGCCCTGCAAGTTGTTCATTGCACCAGCATTGATGGTTTTTTAAAGCGATGTACGGAACCTTTATGCGTGAATGGCACAGCGAGGCCAGGCAGCTTGAGTTGTAGCAAAGCAGTTCCAGACTGCACCAACCAGCTTTTGCCAAAGTCATTGCTTGTTCCGCGACGAAAGCTTCAGAAAATCCACCTAGTCACGTGAATTCATTTCCCAATTTCACCTTGCCAGCTTCACCGACTTCAGCTCTGTTGTGGGAGCTGACCTCAACTCTTCCCATGTGACATTGCATGTGCCATCTGCTGTTTGCGCTGCACTATCCAACAACAGTGGCCTTCAACTCTCAAACTTAAAAAACTCTACGCGAAGTGCCAGTACAGTTCCGGACCTCTAAGAAGAAGCAGATCAGCAGACAAGTCACAAGCTTCGGCAGAAGTGCGGGCTGCATCAAGTTAATCGCTTCCGCCTAGTATCAAACGATGTCTCCTAATATTTTATAATCGGGTCCCGAAATATCATTCGTATATTATAGGGAGGGATAGTTATTGCAAGAATTACATAGGGCTGCCTTTAAATCCGTTTAAAATCCATGGAACACGAATAATTGATTACTGCAATCAATTAATTTATGAAATTATTGAAACTCATTCGTGAAAGATGCAATTAATGAATAATCTCCATGCGAACTGAATAATTAAGTACTTATTGAAATCGAATTAAACTCCATCATACTCCATCTAAAATCAATCGAAGCCAAATAAAATTCCAGTAAAAGCCAATTGAAATCGAATTACATTCGAGTATTACAACCAATTTACATTTTAAATGAACTGAACTGAAACCTAGTTAACATTCTAGTAGAAGCCAATTGAAATCGAATCAAAATCGCTTCAAAATCCATTCAAAATCAATTAAAATCTAATGTAAATCCGTTTAAAAGTGAAATTGAAGTAAAGCCCATTGAAAACCATTGCGAGCGAATCAAAATCAATTTCAAGCCAATTGAAGTCTAATTCCTATAAAAGTCAATTGAAATCCAATGAGATTCCAATCAAAACCTATTGAAATCGAATCAAAATCCGTTTAAAACTCATTGAAATCGAATTTAAATCCATCAAAACAAACTGAAACCTAATCAAGACTCTACTACGAATCAATTGAAATCGAACTAAAATCCAATCGAAACCCATTGAAATCGAATTTAAATCCATGTAGAAGCAACTGAAACCTAACTGAAATTCAATTAAACATGTTTGAAATCGAATCACAATCCCATAAATACCTATTGAAATCTAATTAAAATCCAATTACAACCAATTGAATTTGAATGAAAATCAGTTGAGATTTAGATAAAAACGGTTAAGCTGACAATGCAATCACTCAAAATCGGATTCAAGTCTTTTACATACAATCCTTTATTAAAACCGTATCAAAGAGAGTCAAAACCAAGAACATCACGGGGATCCCTAATTCCTATGCATTTCTTATTCTGCACCCTAATGACTTCAAAACCCCCCTAATTCATTATTAGGTGGCCCCTTTTGGAAGTAGTCTTCCCCTTTGATAAGTAGTCTTCTGGACTTTAGGCCCCTGAATTTAATTTGTTGATGCTAGGGGTGGTTTTCATATTCGGGGGAAGGGATTAGTGAGGTTTTCTTTGTGGTGTCGGCGTTTCACTGCCATGATTTTGTCTTGCGTATGGCAAGGGGTTGTCAAGGTCTCTCAGCCTTTTACGCTCGCAGCAAGACCAGCCAATAGAAAGCCTGGAGTCATACCAACGGATGCCAATTTATGCGTTGTTTGTTGTATGACTTCCAGAAAATAGCTGTTCAGCTCACTGCTTGCGCTGCTTCCTCCTCTGCACCCATGTTGTCAGGACTACACCCATAAGTGGTCAAGCCGCTTTGGCAAGTCGGAAAGACACACGCTGGAGGCAACGGTGACAGATCTTCCACAGTGGTCAGTGACGTCGGGCGGACTGAGAACGGATGTGGCTTTGGCAAGCGTGATGCAATCTGTCCCTCCACCATCAAACCGCAGAGACTCAGACGTGGTCATCAGATGAGCCCCATGCCGAATCTGCCAAGAAGTTGATGGCCTGGCGGCTTGGCCTCATGCCATCCCGGGAAGCCGTGCGCACCAAAAAAGACAGTCTTTGGAGCTGGAAGGCCACAAATTTGAAAGCGCATCTCACTGCAAGCCTGAGATGTACTAGTACCGGTAACTTGCAGCTGGTTCCAATGTTCCAGGGGGTTAGCAAGCTAGAATGCCAACTCCTGCTGGCAGTCCTGAGCTCGCATACACGCAGTCCCATAAAAGGTCTCCACGTCTTTTCCTTGAGCCTGTCTTTGTCATGGATGCTTTTGTCATGGATCTGGGATCTGGGCTTGCCCAGGGTGGGGAGAGGGAAGCTTGCATGTCGCCATGGCTCTGCAAAACGGCAGCCAGACCGCACCGGGACCCCAGAGACAGACACAAGGCCACCCCGCCGTATCTTCTCGCGATGCCTTTATTCAGCGGTCGAGCACTGCTTGGGCGAAAGTAATCCGAGCACAAAAAAAATACAAGCACATTGCACCCACGGCAGCTGCAACGCGCAATGCAGATGCTGCGCATATCCAATGTATCCTGAGGAATCCGACCAAAATCGATGTTGATGGAAAAGTTGTGCAGGGGGCAAAGCTGACGGAGTCTTCCATGCATTGAGTTGAGACTCTTGTTCATTGCTGCCTCCTGTAATCTGCGTGGGCGTTCATAAACGTACTGTATCCTGTCCTACTGAGGACCGCCTTCAAGGTGCGTACACAAATTTCATTTGGTATGAGGGGAATGCCACTGAAAACATCGCAGATGCAAACGAGGCCAGCGGAGAAGAATGTGAGGAGATTGGTTGATATTGTTTGCTAACGGTTGCCCCGTAATTTCTTATTTGCTGTCATCCCCAATTGTTTTTGGCTTGTTGTAAGGTAGGCAGGGTGTGCCTTGACGTGCCAGGTTCATGAAGATAGTCGCCTAACTGTGCCACTGCCGGACTGGCGGCCTTCTTAGCGGCAAAACGTCAAAAGCCTTTGGAGTTGTAAAGTCTGCTTGAGAAGAACAGGTATCCCTACCATCCCAAACGTGGTAATGCCATGCGCTTTGCCGCTGGCGTCAGCCAAGAGGCCCAGATCCACCCGGCTAGCGCCAACATCAGTGTGAAGCGCAACAGATTCATTTTAACCGGAAGGCTCGTGTCAAGCTTGAATCAGGTGGAACACTACCGCGCCGAAGAGTGCGTGCCTTTGCGAAATTTAGCGGCCATGCTTGTGCGTCGGGATGGCTGAATGATGCTGAATGAAAAGATGAAAGAATGGTTGGGACACCCACTAGCAGCATATACCATTTTCTTATGTGAAATGTCACAAGCAATTCTGAGGCCTTCTGGGATGAGCAATCAAGTTTGCGCTGATGCCGGGTTGGCCTGCACATTCGGATGCACATTCTCAGCATGCCCGCATGCTGGCTGGACCTTTGTCCAGATACTTCAACACGCTTCAGAGAAAAGTCGAGATGTTGCTTTCACCAGCAAACGATTCCTAAGCTTATGCTTGCGACTGATGCAATGTGAAGTGGACAAAAGTTGGCAATCTCCAACACCTACTTGGCTTGCATAAGGGGTCTTTGGGGGTTGGGGGAGCTCAGGATACAGTCATGTGAAGCAGACACTGGCAGTGGAGAAAGAAATCTTAGACATGCAAACGCACGAGCAACTTCAAAGCTTGTTCTTCAAATGGGCGGATGGAGTGATGGCGGACTCCATTGGCATGGGCCGCAAGTCTTGCAAAACGCATGGTCAATCTAAACGATCCTATGCTGGAAGATTTTCCGAGGCCTGGCGAAGCACAGCCTGGCACTTCAGCTGAAAGCCTCCTTGGATGACGCCCGAAGGAGTGAGGCAATGGTGCCAGCTCCAGAATTGTCCAAAAGAATACTCGCACACGCATGTTAGGCTCGCCTCGCCCAATATGCCCATGAGGTAAGCGCGGGGCGTTGGCTTAGAGAATCGCGCGCCTTTTGCGCAGACGTGAATGGAAAGGCGTCGGCACCAAAGGCGACAAGGGAGCCTCATCAGAGTGCTGAGCTCAACGCCGCGATTGCATAATGGTTGTAGCCTGGGAGCTTTCCCAAGCACAGGCCACGTTCGTCTCAGCAAGCCCCTGGACGGTACCGGACCTAAAAGAGAGTTTCGATACCACCAAAGCAATCGGGCCGCGCGTACCTTACGCGGTGAGGCCTTGCCCAACTGGTGGAAGGACGATCCGACTTTTTCGCTGAGCTTGCGCAATGTGTCGGGTATGAGGTGCCTGTTCGAACCGGGGGAGAGATGTGATTGCACTTGATGTGAGACGTGAGAGGTCCAACGCTTGCTGAGATACACTTTGCTCAGTTGCGCAAAGCCAATGACTGCCTGCAGCTGAGCAATGTTTGTCATTGTCAAAATTTCGCAGCTCGAGTGATGCTTTAGGCAGATGTCGAGGCCAAGGTGAGCAGCTGCCGGAAATTTTGGAAGCGCCACATGTGTGAGTAAAGTTTAACTCCAGGCTCAGCGGCAGGTCTCCGACGGCCTCAGGTCCACCTTTCTCAGCGGTCTGTCCTAACTTGTTGGTCACAAAAAGGTTCTCGTCGCAGGATCAGGTAAGGTCTTCAGGCAGGCGAGGATGGCGCGAGGCATGTCATGTGTCAGGACAGTACTTGGACACCTCTCCACCTACGTGGACGAGGTGCACACTCGCCAAGCTGCAAATATAGGTAGAACTAAGACCTCTATGGTATGTGAAGGTCGTCACAGCGTCCCAGAGCAGCAAGATCATGACAGTTCTGGATTCTGGTTCCGTCGGGCGCCCGCACAGAAGCTGCCGACCTAAGAACACGTTTTGCAGAAATGTGGGTGCCAAGGCCCAGGCCCTCCAGCACCAACTCGATGCTGTTGTCGCTCAGGTGCGTCACTAAGCCATTCAAACTGCAAATGGTTCTGCTGTCAGACCTCTATAGTAAGGATCAAGAACTCCAAGAGCCTGGCCCTCAGTTGAAAGGAAAGCCCAGCATGCTAGAAGTTAGACCCTTTCAAATTGCCAGAGGCAGCTGGCCTCAGATGATCGGAAAATCCGGAAAACGACCCAGCTCCTGAACCACCTACGCTCTATGTGCCACATTAAGAATTTGGAAGTTATCCTGGGTTCATGCAACCCCTTGTCTTCTGGCTGCGCGAGGTATTACCAAGACCTTGAAGCGTTAAGGGCCAGGCTCAGGCAGGATCAACTGGCTATCTTGCAGCAGGTGGGTTCACTTGCTTTGTTTCAGGTCATTGCTGTCCCGATACCTGGACCACTTTACTCCCGAGGAGGGACCCCGATCACTGTTGATTGGGAATGATTCGGATAGCTTTAGGATGGAATGGGGTGTGCATTTTTTTGATTGGGACAACTTGATTACTGCACTTTGTCGCCAATAGAGCGCACATCTCCGCGCTGCTGCTGATCGGCTCACCTGGGTCGCAGCAGACACGACAATGTACGGGAAGATCTGTAAGAAGCCTATCAGCATAAGATGGTCTATGTCCAGGCCGGGGCGCAGGGGTTGTGTGGAGCATCACATGCAGACTGCACAGGGACCAGGAACGACGTTGACAAATGAACGGTGCTGAGGAGTATTGTAAAGATGTAGCTACGCCTCGCGTTGCCAGGCTGCCCCGTGTAAGTGAAGAGAGGGGGAGAAGAGGACGAGTAGGAGGAAGAGCCTTGTTTTTTCTTCCAGGAAATTATTGTCGCGCGCAGCCAACGCGAGCTGCTTGTAATTGGGCCCGCTATCTTCGCACATTTGCAGAAACCCTTGCGCACTTTCGGCTCTGTTGCTTCCTGCGGGCGAAGGAGCTCCCACTGAAATTCTTCGCACTCTTTGCTTGCAGCACTTTAAATTGTTGATCAGGCTACGGTACCTCAAACAGTCACCGAAGCTAGCTCAGCACGGGTTGTTCTTTTGTGGAATTTTCCATGGCTGGTCACCTAGTCGTCTTGTTTACATTACGCAGGACATCAGGGCAACCCGTGCAGACTGTTGATCTTGTTTGCTAGATCGGAAAAGTAGGCCCGCACTGCCCCCGGCTTGGAATCTTGAGCATCCTGGCGATTCTTATTTGTGGGTGGTGCGAACGCAAGGCGCCGGAAAAATACGATAAAAAAAAATCGTGGATACTATGGTACCCAATATAGAGTAAGATTATATCCTCCTTTTGGTTGTAGTATTTCATATAAGGAATATAATCTTACTAGTTTCAACCACGAGAACAAAAGCTACTCAATTGTTCTGCCGTACTTGGAGAGCCTTGGTGCTGGCCTGGCTTCCACGTAGGGGATGCCGAGCGCCCGCTGCCTCATATCTTTGTTGAAGCGCTCCATGTTTGTTTTAGATGCCTAGGTGCAAAACATGAGCAATGAACTCAGACACGTAAGTAACGGTTCTCGTACATGCTAGAAGCTAGCGAGCTCTAGAGAGGACGAGAGAACCAGTGCCTTTCTGCACTTGGCTGACACGCATTCTTTGAAGGACTTGGAGATGGCGCAGGACATGCTGAACGCAGACAGCCAATACAAGGGGGAGGTTTGCTGACATGATCTTGTCTGAACTCAGGTTCGCTTCTTCAACCCAGACTCCGCTCTGGATGAGGCCAGGGCGCCGCAAAGGAGATCAGTCCAACTTGTTTTATTCAGCTGCGCAAGGACACAGAGGACGCAGTAAAGCGCAAGGCACGCTACGGCACAGACTGCTACATTTTTGGTCGTTTTGCTTTCCAGGCAGAGAGCATGCAGCAGAGCTTCAACGTCGAGAAGGCTCGAATCTGAAAGAAATGGGCAACAAATGCTGATATACTGCAAAATGCCCAGGAGGCTATGCTCCAACAGCTGCTCGGTTCGGTTGGTCCCTGCCTCCGTTTGCCCTGTGTGCCTTTTGGCAAGGCTGGCGGCATTGAGTCGGGAGGATGCAGCAATCAGGCAAAAGCTGGCACAGGAGCAGCGGAAGGTAAGAGGACACAGCGGCAGCAGGGAGCAATCTTAGATGAATTCTGCTATTGCCCAGGTGCGTTTGTTGCAAAGCCGACTGACCGGCTCTCAGGGCTTCGAGGCTCCAGATATCTCCAGGTCATCCAAAAGCCTAGTTGTCCGAAACAGCCATGTGGAGGAGGATGATGATGCAGTTGCCGAGACAGAGGTGCCGATCGCCTCGATCTGAGCTGCTGGTGCTAGTGTTAAGCGAGTCTGTGCCGCAGATGTGTGGTCAGGTTCAAGACGTGGATAGTGACAGGAGCAACGAAATCCTCCGCGCTGCGCACCTGCGCACCTCATCTCATGCCTAGGAGCCACATGGCCTTCATTAAGATCTCAGCCGTTGAAGATGCTTTGCAGAAACTAGCAGCGCACTCAGACGCTGCTCAGGGCAGGTTGCCTTTTCTATGTGAAGTGTGCAGCGGTCGGTTCTAGTTCCGGCCACAGTCTCATCCCGTCGCGTTCTTGCTTATCCTCTGCTGGCCAAGCAGACAAACAGGCAAAACTGCGGAAGCGGCTATTCGCAGCGCTGAAATCTTTCTGCCATGGAACACCTGACAAAAGACAAGTTCGGACTAGAGATGTCGCCAGCTCCCCTTTTGATGCGGGGACGCGGAGATGCTGCTGCATTGCATGCCGTTTGGCAGGAGTAAGTTTACAACATTTTTGAACAGTGCATGCTATCGCACATTTTGTTGCAGGTCGAGTGGCTGGAGAACCGTCCAGACCTCTGGCAGCAGCTACGAGCCGCCTCCTGAGTTAAAAAGCGATGCAAACCGTGGGCCAGGGGGCGCAGCCCCTACGCGCTCTCGAGGGGTGCGTGCAGCCCAAAAAGAAGAGAAGGAGAAGAAGAAGAATATACAGACAGATCGCGAGCCAGACGCATTGGGCGCGTGCTGTCCGCAGGAGGCAATTTCCAACCCCTACCAAAGACGGAGAGAGTGAGAGAGAGATGGCTTGGACAATTTGCTTTCACCCTACAGGGACACGTCCTGTAAGGAACAGTTTCATCGGATGGGCGGCATGATCTTGCGCTTTAGGGTCCTGCAATGTACATTGTGCACTGACTTCTGCGTGATAAAGCCCCCAACCCTAAAACAATGAGAGGTACACCAACCTGTCTGCCCAACACGGGCTGGGCATTGACGCCCGGAGGGGGGACAACGTCCCACCTCCATAGCCTGAACGAAAGAAAGAAAGAAAGAAAGAGAGAGTGAACACGAACCAGCGCTAGGCTGTTTTTCCAACCGACCATTTTCCCGTGAGTGAGGTGACATGCACCGGCAGGGGAGGGGGGAGAAGAAGATGGGTAAGTGGGGCGTGTATTATCGTTCCGGTGAACATGCGAGCCTCCTCGCTGCCAGCGAACCATTGGGCTGGGGGTTTGCCCCCGCAGCATCTTTGATGCTGCAAAGCCTATAGAAGAAGAAGAAGAAGAAGAGTGAATGTGGATATGGAGGAGGCATTCGTGCCGGGCGTAAGGAGAGGATACCTGGTGATCCCCTATGCGACGCACAATATGGAGTCTGAGGGCAACATGCATGGCCGACTCACAGCTGCAATCCAGAAGGTCCGTCAAGCCCACCAAGCCACAGGAGCAGTCAACCGCGATGGATCCGTGAAGTACCTATGGATGGCCTATTCATAGTCACCTGAGAGGAGAAGAAGGGTGAGATACGCGGGCAAGGTCAAAAGGTTGTTGCTGGAGCAAGGGGCCAACAACGACAACTTACAAGTCGAGTATGCCACAGGCACCCTGTATCAGGGGAGGCGCATTGCAAGTGCCACAGCCCCCCCCCCCACAAGGCCAACACACCACCAAGTGCGCGCTCGGATGGCTTGATGCAGAAGCGGTAAGCAACTTTACCAAAAAGGGCAAGGAGTCCGTTGTGGCAGCCTGGAACACTCTTCTCAACCCCCTGCTGCAGCAGTGAGGCAGTAGAAAATCCAGACAGCCCAAGCAAGCAAAACAACAGTTTCACACATACCTTTCTACATGGAACCTGGGAGGGTGCGCCTCAAGGACATCCCCCAGTTGCTCCATCACCTTGGCAACCACCCTCAACTGGGCAAGCCAACCATTTTTATGCTCCAGGAAGTCACTCTAGAAGAGCATGGGCTTCATTGCTGCAGTGAGCATAAATGGACAGTTCTGGCGCACAGGGAATCCAGGGAAGAGACGGAGCGGAGAGGTACAGGCATCGCCTACCATGCATCAGCAATCACGCGCAGAGACACACCTTCCGCAGCTACAGCAAGCATAGAAGCATCCCTACAGACCACCAAAGGTAGCAAGTTGCACATTGCCTCGGCACACCTACCACATCACGTCACACTGGAACAGACACACCACGTCCTCCACACATGGCAAACAAACCACAACCAGCTCCACCACCACCCCTGCGTCATAGGAGCAGATTGGAACGAGACTTTCGCCACCGACAAACAAACAGCCACCACAGCCAAAGGAGAGCTCATCCTCGACTGGTTGTCACAGCAAAATCAGCACCTACCACCACAGCAGGACAACGAGCCCTCCTACCATCCATACAACACCACAATGAGAAGCCGCTGCCTAGACTACATTAGCAGCTCGAGGAAAATCCTCCAACAAGTCGGCCCCATCGCAGGATCAAGGGATTTTGCCCTGAGCGACCACGACGCGGTCATAGCAGAGGTGGAACAGAGAGCCAACAACAACACAGCAAAAACCAATTTTGCACACCGCCCAATGAAGCTCAAATCGCTTGGCGTACACATCCCGCCCGCGCCACCCATGGCACACCCATGGAACAGCCTGGCAACCCTGGCGCTTAGCATCACAGAGGCGTATCCCAAACCAAAATTTCAGGAAAGCAAACAGCTCAAGCAACACAGACACAAGATGACGACAGGTCAGATCCCAGCAGACCAGCGCAGGCAACATTGGAAACTTGTCCAAGCAGCCCATAAACGAGGGCGGCGACAATGGGACCATGCGCAGGCGGCGAAAGCAGCAAAAGGCGACTGGCAAGCATACAAACAGAGTAAAAGCCAGCCCCAACAGATGCAGTGGGGGCGCAGGCTCATCACCAACAAAGACTGGCAACAGCACATGACGCAACATCTCAACGCAATCTTCAAACAGCAACCGGACACGCAGGTTCGTTCCGAATTTGAACGGATGCGCCGACTACTGGAAACACGCTGCAAGGAAACACCATACAACATCGTGGAGGAGGAGGAGTTGCGCGCCATCCAAGAAAGATGGCGCCGGAAAAAGGCAACCGCCGACAGCAGAGAAGCAGGGGAAGCGACACGCAAAGAGGAAGAAGCAGAAAAAGATGATGCCGGAAGAGGAGAGGAACCATGCAGGATGCAACCCTCCAACAACCATCCCTGGCACAAAAACACGAGGCCAGCCGAGCCGGAGTTGAAGGAAGACTCCCCAGACGCTGAAGATCTAGGAATGACAATCAGCTAAGCGAAATACTTCACGCTTTTCGTTTCGAACGAGCGCAGACAAGAAGGCAGGGAGCCACACGACCTGGAGGTGGAGATATTGGCAAGGGAGTTACTAATTCTTGGCAAGCGCCTGAGTGAGGAAATCACGTATAGTCGGGTCAATGACTTCGTTGAGGAGCACTCAAGGCAAAGAGCATGAGAGAAAGGTGTTTCAAGCGAAGTTGCAGTGAGGAAGCGTGGGATAAGGGAGTATGCAATGATCATCGCATTTCTAAAACCGAACCAACGGAGTCAATCTGAGAGCAACTGAACTGAAAGAGAAGGGAAGTAGGCATGCGCGCCAACGAATGGGTGACATATTAAATATGCTCACCCAGGAGGTTGGCGTACCGATGCAAGTAACGATCCATGCAACACATTCGCGACACCCACAACCTGCAGGGGAGTGATCGAGATTCGGGTCTTGCGGCGCCTTTTGTTTCAGTTCAGCTATGGTCATTGTTCTACCGCGGGGGAACGGGGAATGAGGTGTTGAAGACAACGAATGCAGAATTCAGGGAAGCCAGAGGGTAGTGCAAATTCATGGAAACTCCGCAAGCTCAGAAAGTTCGAGGAGCACAGTGTACATACTGATGTGATATTTAAAAGCGTGCTTGAGCAAAGCACCTGGAGCAGTGAGATGCAGGGAGGCTCAGGGAGGAGTGATAGGAGAATGTTGATAGAACTGGTTCGATAGCATCACTCCTTAACCTTCCTCGGCTCAGCAATTTGCTCGGGTGGGAATGAAGAAGAAGAGGGGGGGGCGGATACATGGTGTAGTTTTCCTGCCACGGAACTGTGCCTGGGGCCTAGCCCCAGCGCGGCCCTGGTTCGCCAGGACGCGCGTGGCGTATAGAAGAAGAAGAACAAGAGAGGAAAGGTCAAGCAATGCTGGGAGCCGCTGAGGCACTCGCCAAGCCCTTGTCCAAAGCCAAAACCAAAAAATCCGAAAGAGAGAATCTCAATTAAGCCGTAATGCCATTACGCGCCGACAAGTTGCGCATCCTGTACCACTTGGTTTTTCAGTCTTTTGCTGCCAGCGTCCATGGGAGTACATCAGTTACATTAAGCCCTCTTCGACGCCTGTGCACTGCAGCGAGCTACAGCAACACTCTCATCACCACCACCGCCGCCACCACCACCACCACCACCGCCACCACCACCACCACCACCACCACCACCACCGCCGCAACAAGCATTAATTACACAACGACATCTACAGCTCCTCTAACGCAGCTGGACGAGGACCAACCACAGATGACAACTGTGGCAACTCACCCAGGATGAGGATCAAGAGATGCCAAACTACGGCCCGCGCTACCACCTGGACCCCAACCACCTTGACAAAGAGCATCGCTGAGAGTTGCTGAAAAGGCTGATGAGTCAAGGAGAGAACCCCTTATGAAACCTTGTACCTTGTTGTCAATGTTACCCGCTCATGTTTGGCAACCTTCCCCCTCCTCACCATCAAACTACACAGTGCTGGCCACTGAACTCATCAACCAGCCACAGGGCGGTCAGAAGAATCCCCGTAGCAAGAAAGCCAAAGGACCGAAGATGGCCATGTGTTGCTGAAAGGGTCAGCCCAAAATTTTCGTACAGTTATGCTGTGGACATTGTTACCCCAGGGCAGTGAGCCAGCCAGTAAGTCCTCACCTCAAAAACAAGGCCCCAAATAGTTGAAACCACAGCATGTACACATGATGTTGTCCCCCTTTTCATAAACCATCCTTTCCCATCGGCCTCACGCAGTCTCACCCAACAAGAGCCAACCTAGACAAATTTCTCCTCAAGGTTATGGGTTTTCCAGTGTCATATTACCTTATGCGCCTCCTCAGGCAAGAAGTGTTGGCGATACACCTGCCACGCAAAGAGCTCACAGTGGACAACCCCAATTTATATCTGTGTAGCCCAAACCTGAGTATAGTTGACCGCCGTGCAACCACGATGGGTGGCTTTCACCAACCGCGCAGCCCAACCAGGGCTGGGCGTGGATGCCCAGGGACACTTCAGGTCACCCCATAAGAAAGGAGAGCTAGTAGAAGCAGAGAAGGAAGAGAGAGAGAGAGAGAGAGAGAGAGAGACCATTTTGGTCTCTGCCGCTTCCTTGGTCTCCGGGTCGGGCAGCTGTTTCCCAAGCACGCCGCAGGCCTGCAAATTTGCCGCCCCCCAGTAGTACTGTGACCTGCTGACTCCAGCCTTTTGGCTATCGAGAGGTGCCTTGCGAAGTACGTTGCGGGGACTCCGTGAAGGCTCTCCATTA